CCTCAGAAACAATATGGATAAAAGGAAAATATCAGTTGATACTTAACAAATGCAGTTTTACTTCGTGTTTATAAAATTAGGTGGATTCAGAGCATTTTCTGCAACTGTTGAACACCAGGTGAAAATTATATATACTACCAAAAAGATATCAGCCACACAATCGGCTTCATTCAGCCATTAAAAGCGTACTGGTCACTTGGAACCAGGATGTGCACCTGGACTGACTTAATTCAGAGGTCAACATCAACAGGTCGCCGTCTGTATGTTTGCATCAACATTGAAGGCAAATGACCTATAACTGTGGTTTTCATTTCAGATTCTTATAGAAACTGCTCACCGTTTAGCATCACATGATGGAGGAATTCGGTAAATACAGCTCAGAAATCAATACAAATCTCTGTATATACATAACAGAATGCCAGATAATTTTCGGATTCAAACAGCTCTTTATATGGCTGCCAATTTAGCTTAAGACAATATCCCTATCGACGCACGTTTAATGTTCTAGTGATGCAATTACTTTTTGTGTCTAGTGCGACAAAGCTTTACAAAGAGCTAATCACTTAGACAAACCAGCATGAGTGGTCTTAACTTTCCGTGCTTTTCTAATATGACCTCAAAAATTGCATAAGACGAATAACATGTCTGCATGCACGTTTCAGCGGTGCCTTCGTTCTAAATTTAGTTTATAATGCGTTAACTGAAGTGCTGAGAGGTCATTCTTAAGGCAAAGCAGGCAATGCTGCAAAGCTTTTACTAGCAAACTTTGGTCACATAATAAAGATGAATTAGAAAACATGTATTACATCATTGCTGTTGCATACAAAATAAAATGATATGTGAGTTGACCATATAAAACTATCGAAAGAAGCAATAAACCTGATTGTGAACTATGCTGCTTAGCGGAACTTCCGTGGGACTTTGTGGGCCCATGAGGGCTCCACAGCACTGTTGTACGACCCAGTAAACAAATGGCCAAAAGAAATCTAACAGATCGGAACTATCACAAATATGCGGAAATACAGCTTCATTTGAACTGTTTGGCCGTGCTCTACGTTCCTCTTTCAAAGAATTACCAATGTTCGTACATTCAACGGTAACATTTGTAAACATGTTGTTTTACTCACCTACTGCCTTATCTACAATTAGTGTCATGATCATTTACACTCGGGACATTCTGAAAACGTTGTGTGTTTCCGCGCAAGTGACAAACACATTTAGATTTATTCGAAGCAAATTAAAAAACATCTGCAAATAACATAACAAATTTGTAAAGAAGCATCGTGTTGGATGGAGGGTTGCTCGGCGGAAGAAATGTTTGTCGAGTATGTGCATACGCGTTTTTCTCAACACCAAGGTCCGCTCATTTCTTAGAACAAGGGAAGACCTTAATAGCAACATCTGCTATCGCGAGTAAGCGCAGCTACAATTAGTTATGCTATAGGAACCCTGACTTTACAATGATGTTGACGCTATTGCAACAGTTGACTGTTCTATTTTCCACTGTGCTGAACCCCCATGCTGGTTCCACAAACAGGGTGCTGGTGCTATTACCTTTATTAACGTTTTCTGGTGCTCATCAGTGAAGAAAATGTTCTGCTCTTCGTCGCAATGTATCGACTGCTTAGTTCTAAAGTGCAAGTCAAAATAGCTGAGTGGATACAGTTCAATCTTACTAGCCAACATGTATAGATCTTCCATTTGTCCAAGCTCAGAAGCAGACAAAATTTACGATGACTTCACGGCTGCTATCATTGTACACAGCGACCATTCCCATACAAAATGCTGGTGATTTCAATAGGTTTGACACAACGTTCCTCATTTGGACTACAGAACATTGGGAAATGTTCTATCAAGTTAGACATAACCCTGGACTTCGTGTTCGTTAATAACATGAAGATATTTTCAGTCAGTACTCCAACCTCACTTGGAAACTCTGATCATTCGATAGTCCAACTATCTCCTGTCATCTACAGTAAGACGAACCCCAAAGAAGTCACTCGCAGCAAGCAACGAAAAATCAAACAGGGATAACAAAACTGCCTAGCTCGGAGAACACAAGAATTGTCTCATCCACATCCAGAACTCCAGGTATTCTCAATAATTTCTAACGAAGACAAACCAACCCCCAAACAAAACAAAAGTAAAAGAAATGGTTGCCTCTAAATAGTTTAGTTTGCTTTTCGATACAGATATCTCAACATATTGTGACCGGATAACAAGTTAGCCGAAACTCCTTTTTTGATCTCTGTTGTCCGATGGAAACTATTCACATTTGTGCTGACCGGTTCTCCTCACCACTCCTCAAGCAGGTGCTTTCACTTAAGAAGAGAACCTTTAAAGTTAAGGATTGTGCCTCAGTAAAGTTGCTTTCTCTACGCATCAGGGAAGAAATTCGCCATCCCAATCATACATACGTCCAGACAAGTCTGGGGAACAGTAATTGCCGTGAGCTTTCGCAGATGACGAAACACTTTAGTGGAGTCGCTGGTCATAGTACGAGCTCTGACATGGACGTAGAAGAATTAAATCATAACTTCTGCTGATCCACCATTGTCTCACTCCCCAACTCGTCATCTGCGCAGGTTCAGTGGCCTACAGACTCATCGCCAGTTGTTGATGTTGCAGCACTTCACAAGAACCTTAGCCAGATAAACTCGAGCAAATCAAGCGGACCTGATCGGTTGTCTCCCTTCGTTCTTATGGTTTGTACGGATACATTAGCACAACCGTTAGCTGAGTTGTACACCCTGTGCCTGAACCAAGACAAGAACGCAGACTGTTGGAAAGCTGATAGTATAACAGCAATATTGAAGTAAGCGACAGGTAAATATCGCGCTAATGTATGCACTTCGGTGGCTTTAAAAGTCTTAGAGAAATTCATTGTTGAAACGCGCCAACCAAATAATGTCTGAATGACGTACATGAACTCGCAAACCGAAGTTCGAGGTCGACACAAGAAGCAGTGGCTTGTCTAGTGCACTCAGTGCTATCGTCACTATACAGAAGAACAAAGTCTTACATGCATGCTTCTTAGGCTAAACCAAAACCTTCGGTTGTGTTAACCGTGAAATTTTGTTGCAAGATCTCCTGGCTTCTAGTATCCAATCATCTATAGCCTTCTTGCTACAGGATGATTTTGTCAACACACAGATAACCAGGTTTGACGGCAGGAGCTCCTTGCCTCTTACCGCTAATGCTGATGTCCTTCAAGGAGCCGTTTTCTCCCCAATCTTATTCTCTACCTACCTTGGCTCCATTCTTGTCCCTAAATAAGCCATTATGCTAAGATACGTCGATGACGTACTAATCGGAGCAAATTATCTAACTAGCCTCTTCGACTATGCTACTAAGATGTTTGGATAAAATCGTGCATTGGGCAAACTCCCGCGGCTTAACGATGAATGCTTCCAATTGCAATGTACTATTTTCGTTGCATAAGGCAAATCGTTACCAGCAAATCGTCGCTGACTGTTCCCAACTTCATATGAGTGGTGAAATCCTTAGCTTCGCAATGTCAGTGAAGTATCTGAGCACCACACTTAGTCATGATTTGTCGTGGTCAATTCACGTGAGTGAAGTATTGGCCAAAGTCAGGCGACTGTCCGTTTATGTCTCACGTCTTCGCCCGTCCTCAGTCTCCCATCAGTTGATGCTGCGATTCATCACTGCATGTGTTCTACCACACTGAACCTACTGTTCTCCTGTGATCTTTCCGGGCCTATTGGGTAAGTATTTTAAACAACTTCGTAGGTCGCTGAAACACATATCTCGATGTAGTGGCATTTCCAAACCAACCTTAGTTCAACACATTGTAGATATTCGTGTTACTTCATACGCAAAACTTGCTTCGGAAAGACTAGTATCAACCATCCTCTAAATAGCGTTTTATCCAACTGCAAATCTAGTTCCTTAAAGAGACGAAACTACCGAGCCATAGCTGAACGCACGGGGGCCTACGGCTCATCTATCGTACCTTACATAGCTAGGTTTCTGCTTGATCCGGATATTATCCGAATAGTATCATTTAAGGACTAAATAGCAAATGCTGTGATCCTGTACCACACATAAAACATTGTTGCAGCTGCCGTTATCTTTTTACTGTTTGCATGTATTATATTGTTTTTATTTACCGCTTCGATCGCGCGTGTGCTACAGCTGAAAATTCACCATTCATGGGTGCATAAAAGCGACTTCTTGACTTGAATTGACTTGAACCATAAGGATAAGAACAAAAGTTTTGAACGACTTCACAAATACCGTCGTTGTTCCGCTGAGTTCAGCACGAGCTTTGAAGATCAAATAGATTTAACATACCGCTACTTCGTCTCGCACCGTGACGGCAGTCATGTGCTCCAGAAGCCTTGGCTCTTTGGTTTGCCAGTACCGGTCATACGAGTGTCCGTTAAAGGTTTAATTGCACAGTTTACTCTAATCTCTTCCCGCCTAGCCAGTACACAAGGGTTTGGAAGCTTGCTTAAAGCGGAACACCGATCAAAACTATACAGTTGCCGCTTACTTACTAACTCCTTAAAATTACAAGTTTTAATACTTGACAGCACTTAGCCCAACTAACCTTGCTTACTATAAAACTACACCCAAGAGAATAACTGTGTGTTTGACAAGATTCTTCGTCAATTTTCCGTTCCATGATTACTTTGACTTCTTGCAACCCTTTTGACTTCTATAATAAGAATAGCTAAGAAATAAACTATTCTGAAGGCTGGGGAAGCATCATCTGTTAACTATCACTGGAAGTGAACGGTATTTGTCGAACTCACAACAAGTAATACGCAACCATTGCCACAAGCGGCTGTCCATTGGAGAGCTTTTAGTCTCGTCCAGCGATAAAACAGGGCTTCAAAGTGTAACCTTCAGCAGAGACAATAACGAAAGCGCGTGCAACCATGAATTAATAAACTGTTCATCCATACTTGTGAATATCTATCTATACTACCACAAATGTGAGTGAAACGGCGTACTTACAAAAAGATAAAACATTTGATACAAAACCATTTTAATGAGCTGCATCGTATAACAATAACTGCGAACAACTAGACATGCTTGAATCAGATTTAAATATAAACAGAATACGCACAGTCGAAATAAGATAAACAATAAGCGACATAACTTTGTCTCTCTGCAAATGGTCGGTAATTTTCACAGTATCCTCTATGTAACATGTAACGTTCTCACATGGGAACTTCAAAGTTTAAAAGATCTACGCTCTTACAGCACGAACGCCAATCCTGTCCCTTGTTGCCACACAACGAGAGCTTAGGATAGCGAGTAAAGCAACTTGCAGAGCAAAAACACATCCGACCGTTGCGGCGAAGTATGACCACCTGTGGCTTACTAGCCCGGTGAAAACCAGTATTCCAGCGAGTAAGCATCCGCTACCGAGGTAGAGTAGAACAAATCTGGTGGTCAAATAACCGGCCTGTGTGCTAAATGTGTCTGAACAAAGGCTGACCAGGTCCAACAGTAGTACAATGGATAAACAGACCAACCCCAGCAAGAGTAAGATAATCACGGAGACCACAGCCGTCCTTTCTCCATGATTCTGGCATTCTTCGAATAGGTTACCACATCCCCAGCTAGAAGTTGCCAGGCCAGCGATGATCAAGCCTACTGACAACGCCAGTAGTGCAACAGATAATCGACGGATTTCCGACATTGCACAGTGTCACAGAAAATGCCTGCTCGAGAAACCGAGGTAATAACTAGGGTAGATATAGAGGTGGCACCTACGATAAACGTCTCATGGTACCATCCAATCATAATACGGTCTTTGATGTAGTGTGCACCAGTGTGTTGGTAGATGGACACTTGAGTTTGTTCCGTAGTCAACAGATGCTAATTCGCTCACCGGTACCACTGCACAAGTGGGGCTTGACGATCGATCGGAGTAACCAATCAAGGTCAATCGAAGTAAAGCAAAGCGGTGCGGAGAATCAGTGTGCGGCAGTCGTGCGAATAGCACTAACAGGACCTCGATTTAATTGATCATCATATTCATGCAAATTAAAAGCTTCGGATATACACACTTTACTTTGTTTTATGGGAACTATAAATTAGCTATTCGTGTTGATCAGTGTTAGGGATGGTAATATCTTTAGTGCCATACTTGAAGGATTCGCATGACGGACCAGGCTGAGATTTCATCGTCCATAATGTATGCATAATACAGCCCTTATAAAAAAAACTTGTGAAACAGTTTGCCACACCAGTACACAGTCAGTTGGAGCATGAAAGTGCGAGTGAAACCCATCGAGGGAATACCCCGCATAGAAGCATGTCCCCTGGGGACGGTTCCATGAATAGCCGTATTACTTTAGTTGAACCTTTGGCTAAATCCGCATTTGGTACTGTTCCGTTACTTACTCTCACTAATAATATGAAATTGCCATTCGCTTCAGGAACCCATTTGAGACCCGATGTGAATACATGAACAATCAACTATTTTATGCGATCTCGATGTACAAATTGATCAGTCCACTCAGTTGGATTTCGGCCCGCACCGTAGAGGAATAAAACGTTTAGTTATTTACTCATTTACGGTGTGACAGGATGAGAGCATCTGCTCGCAATCATGTGGACTGAAATAACCAACGTCAGCAAGTAGATTCATTTGGGGAAGGTCAAGGTAGGGAAAAAGGAGACAAAACTAAGGCTTGATAGCCCCGCTGCTTGGTTTGTCTGAACTACATATATTCAAAGGGGATGACTCTAAAAGAAACGAGCACCTGTGGAGTCACCATTATGTTCTTTTAACGTGCAGTAGATCCGTTTACCCTGAGTTCTTGGGGATTGGTGGGCACAATGCATATTTGCGTCTTGTCGGTACTCGATGAACAGAATTCGAATCAAATAATGCAGATGATTTATTCCTTTTTAAAAATAGATACCGTGCACGCCGAGAGAAGAAATGTCGAAAGGCCATTCCGTGACTGAGAAATTCCACGAAAAGCATAACCTCGGCGGCATTGCAGCGGAAAGTATATAGTGGTCAGTTTCAGCTGGTGACTCCTTAATTTTGTGTTGCGGCTAAGTTCAGAAGATGGCGGCAAGCGTGACTGCGGTCTTTCAAGATGTGGTACGCCAAGACGAGGTAGCCCCATGGACGGCGATAACTTACGCTGTACACTCCCAAGTCCTACATTCGCAGATGGCCTGGCAGGTAGAACAGTTCCTTCACTGTACGATCCCCAGCACAATCAGGTCGCGTTGTAAAAGGGCTTCCTGGGCTGATTCTCGTACATACATATGCGTGGAGTATTTGGGGGAAGTTGGAGTGGTCGAGCCGCAGAACGTCCTCCGTAGGCCATCACAACAAGGGATACAAAGAGACACTAGGTAGGTAGTTAGTAAAAGGCGACTGTTTTCGAAAAACGACCTGACGTCTGATACATAATACCCTAGGATTAGTTTGGCAAACGCAGCTTCTATAATCCGGTAACAGTAGTTCATCCGTAGTCCATGTTTTCCTACTGCGTCCTTACCATTGCTCCGGATAATGAATTAGGTGCAGAAACTTTTTCAAAAACTTAACATATTATGTCGCTTGCCTGTGGACAAAGAATTCACCTGGTTTGAAATTGTTTTGCAGTAAACCTTATTATTCTTATTATTCGAGTTTAGTACACAGTAACAGAGTCCTTTACTTCGGACGGAATGATACTGCTAGGGGCGACGCGCTTAGGTTATGAATGCCCACAAATATGCTCATCGCTCAGTGGCTCGCGTGAAACTTCAACGAGCAGACGGAATATGATACGGGAAGCTAGACATAAGCTGCCCGAATGTATCTCTCTTAGAAGTAGACCAAAAGTAGACCAAGTTACTCGCTTGCCCTTAACTCGCAATCAACCACAGTTCCACTAGTTTATTCGCCATCCGTTCACTCGAAAGACTGGGTAAGGAGTAATTGTACTTTGATTTCCAAAATGTCCCGGACCGAAGGATCTACAAATGTTAGTGTTTAGGAGACGTTGATGTACTTGTATTGAGAATTAATCGCAGTATTTTCCTAGTCGAATGGACTACAACCTATCCGGAGAAGCACCAAATAGCAAGTTCATCCTATTAGATATTTTAGCTTGGCCCACCGGCCAGTTCCATTAAGAACCTAGCCCATGACCACTCGACACTAGCTGCTTGCGCCACTAGCCATCAACTTACAATGATAGTCCACGGGTAACGGCGGAATACCGTCATAACTTACAAGCCACCTGCGATATATGGGATGCATTATCTATTACCACCACATATCGCAATTACCTAGTGAGCTATAACATTCGGCCGCCGTCATCTGTGGCCTAGTGGCGTGAGCTGATGGATATTGGCACGCGCTACAAGCGTTAAGAGCTCATGGTCTCGTTCTTAATAAAGCCGGGGAATACGCAACATTGACAAGCCCGAATAGGACAAACGTGCTATTTGATGTCTCCCCGGATGAGTAGTAAGCCGTCTAACGAAGTTAACTGGACAAATTCCTTCATATAAATGCCACTGTTATTTAGTTAAAGAGCACTAGGACTCAAAACCATGACGTTCGTACGCCTGCATATCTCGCTTAAAGCCCACTAAAAGTCAAAGCTGATACATTGCGCAACACCTTTGCTGTATGGACAAGGTAAACTAGACAAGACTGACAACACAGCATCAAGGAAAACGATGAGTACACAGTCCAAGCAGCCGCAGATATTGGTTCTTGCGATTCGAAATCATACTCCAAGACTAATCAAATTGGAATAACATGGCCTAACTCCAGTAAGCAATTCCATCCGATGTGGGTAGTTTTTAGGTTAGCGAAAATGATTGAACGGCACTGTGCAAGAGCTTGCATTTGGTTCAGTGCAGAGTGCATGAGTAACCCCCTCATAAGGTGCATCGCCGTGCTGGCACAGAAATGTGGCAAACTGACAGCGACTGTGGAGCTTGCTACGACTGATCTAGCGGCCGCATCGGAAGCAGCTGCAGTATAACTCTATTCGCGTTGCGTAAACCTGTGAACAAAGTTGGAACAGAGTAGCCAATACAAGTGAATAGTTAAAAGCGTAGGGCTAGGAACCCCGAACAGGAGAACTAGCAGAAAGTCAGGTAGCTGCGACATACCAACCCTAGTAACCCTAATCTTGCAAATGGTGGTTTTCCTGGTGGTGTGTCTGTGTCACATAAAACTGCATTGCATTCAACTTTAGTTAACACTACCGAAAGCCTGAAAACATACGCATCTGTCGTCGCTTCATGCAGACCCAAAACGAACTTAACTGTCATGACTGTATCTAACCCGAAGAGCGACAGAAATGACATGGATATCAATGCGCTACCAAAAAGGCCGCCCACCACGCTGCTAGAGAATTAATGCACACTTGAATCCAAAATTATAAACACAAAAAGACGCCGAACGTGCTTGACTCAAAGGCAAAATCTATCAAACGACCTGAAAAAATGAGAATTCATATGCCAATCACGGGAGCCCCATGTCAAACGGGCTAGTTTGTTTCACGTGATTCGCCACCGAAAGTCATTTCACTACGACGAACAAAGTCTACTTCCGGTGAAATTTCATTCGGGTGTCGAAGCGGAGACCATATTCTTATCAGAGCACCGTCTTTCTGATTATGCGATTTTCGTATATGCTCTAATATCACTTTGGTTGAGCGTTGCCATTGGAAGCAAAACCCAGGAGAATACCGTAAGCAATAGGACGATAGAGAAGTTTAGTCCACGGTGTTCCCGAAATCCAGTCTTCCAATGAATCGCAAGCCCATGACTTTTAATTGTGGCGTCACATAGGGGAATCCCTCTCTCCCCACTACATTATTGTCAACTCAACAGCATGATTACTCATCTCACCCAACTCTAAAGGATCTGATCGAATGGCGCTGAAGGCTACGCTCCATTCCAATCAAAGTTTGAAACAGTGGTCAGAATTTGGGGCATGGTACGCCTCAAGTTGCCATCAGAGATACGTCTAAAGGCGATCGAAGTCAAGCCCCCACTGGCTGATGGAAAACAAGACCAGTGTGATATTGTCACATCTGAAACTTTGACTCGGAAAGCAATACAACTCAGCCGACCGAAGAGCAAGTAACAGGCATTGATCCGCGATTCGCCTCTGAAGGATTAGGCAGTGGGTGCTTTTTGTAACAACCCGAAAAGACCCTGGAGAATAGACCAGAACTACATCCAAAAAAGGAGTGTCAGCCGGCCACGTTATGGTCTGCGTAAATTTGTAGGAAACGCTTCTCTTCAGATACACTTCTGGCAGCCGTTGAGCTTAACTCTGTGTATACAAAATTAAAAGGTCTTCTCAGGAAATTGGCCGAGATTTCGTCTTGTCAAGCCTAAATGTGTTGGGCCTCATAATGCAACCGAGATATGGCTGGATGATGTGATTACCGAAGCCGAGGTCGCACTATCTGGTATGTCACGCTTGCGCAACAAACGACCCATTAAGCGAGGCGGTGCAATTTTGTACTACCATCCTGACCTAAGCATTGACCACGCAAACGACCCAGTGGTTAAACCCTGGACATCTTATGATGCTGCATACACCTAAGACTGCGATAAATACGTAGGGGTCATGGATGCCGCCCACCATTTCGCAAGTAAGAAATGGACAGGTTTTAGCCCCCGTTAGGAACAACTTACTGGCACCATCTTGCAGTCAGGTTCTGATGGTAGTGGACGTTATCTTGCACTGTCTATAAACGCTGGGCAATCGCGCTAAGCAAATCTAAGCGAAACTGCAGG